ACAAAAAGCCAACATTCCCTAAATTTAGGAAAGAAGCCAAGCTGGCATCATGAAGATGATGTCATTCAGGTGCTTCCATTTTGTTACATTTCAATCCAAAAAATGTTCAATTACCATCAGCAACATTCAGGAACTGACTCTTGCTAGACTAGGCACTGAGGAAAGATTTGTTGTTGTGGTCATTAAGTTATTCAATCGCGTCCAATTCTTCATGACCCCACAGACCACAGCACAACATGCCCTTCTATCTTCTACTCTCTCCCGAGATCTATCCAAGCTCATGCTTGTTGCTTCCATAACACCATCTATCCACTTCATTTTCTGCTGTCCCCTTCTCCTTTTGCCTTTAATCTTTCCCAACATCAGGGTCTTTTGCAATGAATACTGTCTTCTCATTATACAGTCAAAATATTTAAGCTTCAGCTCTGATATTTGACTTACCAATGAATAGTCTGCATTAATTTCTTTTAAGTATTGACTGATTTGATCTCCTTGCTGTCCAAGGGACTCTCAAAAGTCTTCTCCAATCGTTGATAATACAAAAAAATTAATTTTAAAAAAGTGTTTTCTCCAGCACCACAATTCAAGCGTCGTTTCTGCAGTACTCAGCTTTCCTTATAATCCAACTCTCACAGCCATACATTACTACTGGAAAAACCATAGCTTTGATTATATAAACCTTTGTCAGCAAGGTGATGTCACTGCTTTTTAGTATGCTATCCAAATTTACCATAGCTTTCCTTCAAGGAGCAAGTGTCTTTTAATTTCATGACTACTGTCAACATCTGCAGTGATCTTTGAGCCCAAGAATATAAAATCTGACACTGCTTCCTTTCTTCTCCCTCTATCTGCCAGGAAGCAATAGGACAAAATGCCATGATGATAATAATTATAAATAAAACATTCCATATAAATACATAATTATGATATAATATATAACATAAATAAAATAGAATTATAAATAAACATAGCATTTATATGGCACTTTAAGGTTTGCAAAGTACTTTATAAATATTATCTCATTTGATCTTCACAACATCCCTGGAAGGTAGGTGCTATTATTATTCCCACTTTATAGATAAGGAAACTGAAGCAGACAGAAATTAAGTGAATTCCCCAGGTTCACACAGCTAGTAAGTGTCTGAGGGCTATTTCGAACTCAGGTCTTCCTGATTCCAGTTGCAGTGATCTATGTCCTATGTCACCTCGCTGAGATGGAGGTCCTTGCCTTCAAAGAGCTTACAATCTAAGCCGAGAAGTAAAGCTTTTACACAATTAAAGACTCCAGAGGAACTATTTCTGGCCAAGGAGAGTCAAGAAAGGTCACATGGAAGAGGCAAGTATTCAGATGAAGGATGGGCAACATGTCAGCTAACAGATAAGGAAAGAAGGAAGACATTCCAGACAAAAGAAACAGGATCAAGAAAAAAAAAAGGCATGAGGGCTGGGAACTCCAGGATTACAGAAGGTATAAAATTAGAGACCAGTTTGGTTGGATCAAAGAACATGTGATGATTGCATAAATATGAGTTGGAGCTAGAATGTAAACTGAATTCCTGTTAAGGATATTGGATTCTGTTCAGTAAGCAACGAGAAGCCATAAAACTGGATGCTCTGGAGTAGAATAAGTAGAAGTAAATGAAATCATAAAAGAACAGTGTGGCTACATAACATCGACTCAGTCATCACTGGATCTTGCCGCAAATTCCAATCATAAAAATTCATTTGTTTTATTACTTAGAGAGAAAAAAAAATCAAGGACTCCTCAAATTATTTGTAGGTATTTTATAATCACCACCTAAAGGAACAGGAACATATGCTTAGTGGCAGTAGAATACCTGGGGAATATAATCAGGTACTTAAGACACACAGAACTCCACAAGGCAGGATCAATGCATATTTATGAAAAAAGCAGTTTTCAAAGTCAGCATAAGGAGCTCCAAAAATAGAATGATCCACGATCTGTTAGTTAGTGTTACACGGCGAAGAGATTCATTTCTTTAACAAGGCAACTGAGCCCCAACATCTGGATGTACAGCAGTGTTCTCTTTATTCCCATCTTTGTGCTTCTATGAGACAGGACCAAGACATGTTTCATGTATGTCCTGAACCACACCTGCTACAGATTGAGTGCTTAATAAATGCTTGACAAAATTTTAGAACCATCTTTTTAAGAACATTACAAAAACATATGAACTGGGCAAAGTTCTTCCTCTAAGGGCACAAAGGAGTTAGGTGAATGAATAAAGTAAAAATAAATATGTCAGTATCTGGATGACATTTTTAAATTCTCCAAAAATCTTGAGTGCTTTTTCTCTAAAAAAAAAAAAACAGTACTTGGAAAAAATTTTTGTAATATTCTCTTTCATATATAACCTTAGATGTGACTTTCAATTCATTCATCATTTTCCTACCTACAACAAAAACCTAGCCAGAGGTGATGACTTTTAGACATTTCTATAAACACAAACAGCGATATAACTTTAGTTATAACTTCTTTGTAAATAATATGCACATGTTGAGTTTCATTTGTAATATTCACATAGTAAAGGAGATTTCAGTCCACCGAATTGTACCTATATTTTAACCCTTCATGCAACTAGCTGTCTCTGAAAAGAGGACTACAGGATAGCAAGAAAATAGTTTTTCTAAATGGCTCTGTAACAAACTGAAGAGTGTATATGTTCAAGATGCTAACTCAAAAGGTCCCTGTTGTTATGGGATTGATTTTCCACTGGCAAATGCCATAGACTGCAAGGATAGAATGTGAGTGGTTACAGTAAAAATTGAACACTTTGCATGGAAAATAAAGGAGATGCAAATAGATACCTATGTAATAATTTTTAAAATACTGCAACTATGCAACTTTGTATAGGTATACTGGTACTTTTGGCCTGAAATGAACTAAAGTCTTTCTTTAGCGTACAAGTTTATTTAAAATTCTTTATACTGTTAAATTTACTGCTTGCAAATTACCTCACCCAAGTACTTCCAAACATGAAAAATTAATAAATATGAACTTTGCATAAGATAATGGAATGTCCTAAAATGAGCCCAATTTTATTTTTTAATTACATACATTATACATTTTGCCATCTACAAAGTGCATTTTCATGCACAATGCAAAGTGCCTGCATTACAGAATTTGCATATATTAATTTCAACAACAGCCTGAGACCATTTTACATACCATTTGAACAAAACAGCTAGAAACACACCATCTTGAGTTCCATACAACAAAGGAAGAATTCTAAACACACCTGGTATTAGTAAGCAGTGATTTTTAAGACCATAAATTATAAATTTTTCAATGACAACATAAGCTGCATCAAGATGATGTTCCTTAATTTCTCGAACCCTTCCATATGACTGTATACTTAGGTAAAAGCAAATGAATGATTAAGAATGTACAGGTATACCTGATAGAGATGCTATCTTCCTCCTGGCACCAACAAAGGCCTCAGTTAATCATCAAATAAACCACATTTTGTTGGAAGTATAATCATACTTTTCTTCCATTTTCTGTAATATAAGAGCTCTAGTTTGAGTGTTGCTGCCATTGAGATAAAATACAGGTTCAAATATGCAGATTTGATTCACTGAGCATGTGCATCTTATAATCATTTATCTTGACGTTAAGGGTATACTGTTGGAGATCAGGTTAGTCTGCACTCTTTATCACTAATATATTCTACCACCATGTGGCTAATAAAGAGTTGGAGGGGTTTTTTTTTTGTATTGGGCTTTTTTTTTTCTTTTTTTGAAGCAACAGCTGCAACATAATATGAAACCTTTCCTAAACCCACAAGGAGCCTTTTATACAATGCTCACCAAGTAAATCAAAGACTTAATAAAAGGCCAAAGTACTGTAAATAAAAGCCAAAGTACTTCAAGAGAGCTGTATACCTTTCAACAACCTTAGTTTGGAAACAAGATGGGGTTTTACCCACACTTAACAAGAATAAGCCACCCTAATTATCAGTACTATTACTATTACAAATTTTAACCAATGGATGGCTTTCATCCAATATTTTACGGCTGATTTTTAGGTATATCATCCAGATATTTCCTTTGCTTTCACTGAGTTCTGAATGAGGGAATCTTGAAACCAGAGTCCTGTTTGCGTGTTGATTCCAAACACAACATAGTTCTTAACCAAAAGGGCTCTCAGCTGGGTAACTAAGTCTTAACTGTCATGTCTTAAAATGTGTTGAAATGAATTTGATTTGTGAAAATAAGAGCAAATTCAAGATTCCTCTGAAGTAGGTCAGGTTCACAAGGTTTCCTACAATATTCAGGCTTTTGGTATAGAGGTTCCAAAAATAAGATCTACCTACAAATGAAAGTCATGCTTTCACATATTTTATTTAAAAAAAAAAAACAGAATCCAACAGTTTTTAATTTTTCAAATCATTATTATTGCAGAGTTGTTGAGAGCTGCAGTGAGCCAAATTAAAGGCAGTAGGGTTGTGTTTTTGATTTGTGTATTTGTTTTTAATAAAAAGGATGCCACACTGGCATATGTAAGAATGATATCATTCAGAGTTATTTAAGATGGGCTGATAAGCATTTCCTTTGAAGTAATTTACAAAGATATATCAATCCAAAAATAAGATTCTTTTTTTTGGCAATTGGGGTTAAGTGACTTGCCCAGGGTGACACAGCTAGTAAGTGTCAAGTGTTGGTCTGAGGCTGGATTTGAACTCAGGTACTCCTGACTTCAGGGCCAGTGCTCTATCCACTGCACCACCTAGCTGCCCCTCAAAAGTAAGATTCTCAAAAAAGAAAAAAAAACTCAATTGCTAAGAAAATTAATGAATCAGAGGGACCCATCCACTTCATGTGCTAAAGGTCTGTCCACTCGACTATAACTGAGGAAATAGAGAATTATAAAGAAGAAATTCAACTTCTGACAAGCTCTCATGAACTCATAGAAACGTATCTGGTAGCAAGCACCTTGTGTTAAGAATTACTAGATTACCCCCCCTTTTAAAAAACAATAAAAAAGTTAAAGTGAATTTTTGTGCTCATAAAAAGTCCCTAATTAAATGGTATCTGAGATTAGCATCTCCTAAGGTCTCTAAACCAAGATTCTGCCCCACAGAAGGGCAAACTATAGGCACTATAGATTGATTCAGCCTCTTTCTGGCTAGTTCAGTCTCAAAACCAAGGCAGCCCATGACTTCTGTGTAAAGCCCATCAGCAAAGGTGCTAACAGAGGAGGCAGGAGGGGCCTGCCAATCAACAATCACCAAATGAAATCTTAAATAAGCCAGCAATCAGTCAAAGACAGGGGTGACTTTGGTTCATACATAGGCAGACTACATTTAAACCAGTATTCTAGAGGTGAATGTCTCTGTAAGTCCTTTCAAGTCCTCCAAACAGCAGGTTCATAAGTTTGGAGGTTGGTGGGGGTTTGGTTTGGTTTATTTGGTTGTTTTCTCCTTTAAATGGACCACTGGAAAAATCTGACCACCAAAAAGCAGACCATCACCCCTGGTGGGCTTGGTGAAGCTTCTGAAGAACTTTAAAAGCCAGCAAACCTTTTCAGGCAGATTCATCACATTTGCCTTGGTCCTACAAACGTTTATAGGTACCAAGAAGAGCTTTGCAATTCGGGCAATAGTGATCCACATCCTGAAGTGCATCCACACAAAATGGAATGAAACAGCAGCCAGCTATACACCTGGAAGAAGAGAAAAGGGGAAAAAAATGATTTATCAACCCAGGGATTCTTCCTACAAGCTGTCTTAGACCTAAACTATAATAACCAGAGACTGCCTCTATCTCAATTTCTCTTCGGAGACCTAGAATAACATTACTTATAAAACAAAGCTTCTTAACTTTGCTTGGGTCATGGATCCCTTCAACAATCTAGTGAAGCCTACTGACCCCTTGAGAAGGGCCATCTTCAGAGAATAATATTTTTAAATGCATGAATATACAGGAAAACAAAAGAAATCAATTATACGGAAGTATAATTTTATACACACATATACAAAACCAAACTCAAAGGCCTCAGGTTAAGAATTCCTGGGTGAAGAAGGGCTCAGTAATGTTTTATGATATTGACAATATCTATAACAAAATAAATCTACAAACAATCCTGGAGACAAGAGAGTGGAATTTTTCCTACTAATGTAGATCTGCACCTTCTGTTCAATTTACATAGTCTCAGAGAACTGATTAGGGTATTAAGGGGAGTTAAGTAATTTGACCAAAGTAAAAAAGCCAGTAAGTGTTAGAAGTGGGTCTTGAACCCAATTCTTCCTAACCTTTAGGCCATCTCTCTATCCGTTATGTCAAACTACCTCTTAAAATATTATATAACTTACCCATGAACTATTACTAAAAAGACACAAGACCTATAAGCCAATTCAACCAAACAAGTATTTATTAAATGCCTGCTACTTACAAGGCACTGACCTCAGGGAGCTTACATTCTAATCATAGCCCTTACCAGAATCACTAAAGTAAAACCTTGCTAACATAAGCATTTTAAAAGATGATGTTAAGTTGGACTAGAAAGAAATTGCAGCACTGTTGGGTTGGAAGAAGAGCAGTCACAAAAGCCTTCTGTATGAGTCCATGCTCTCCTACTTGGACACCTAATTCTCTGAGTCTCAAGTTTCTTCATTTATAAAATGGGAAGAATACTTGTACTTCCTACCTGAAAGGGCTGTAATGAGACCTAAGGTGAATATAATAGCAAAATACTTTGTAACATTAAGAAGCTATAAATATAAGCTATTATCTCCATTATAGCAACTACCAATTAAGAATCATATTTCTAATTTACTGAAATAATCTAGAAAGAATCTGACCTCCCAAAAAAATCTTTCTTAATTAAGATTAGTTTTCACATGCATTTATCATTTTTCTTAAGGGGATAATTTAGCTAATAAACTCTTCAAAGTTAAAACTGAATATGTGGGCCATTGTTTTGCATTTTCCTACTTTCTGAGATTAAAACAGTCTTTGATGCTGAGGCTCAAAAAGGATGTTTAGCATTTTCTTCCTAAGGAATTCAAAACATGCAACCAACAGTATAGTGTGAGTGGGTGGAAGCAATAGTGGAACAGGGGCCAGGAAATCGGGAGGGGTGTGTGTGTGTGTGTGTGTGTGTGTGTGTGTGTGTGTGTGAGAGAGAGAGAGAGAGACAGAGAGAAAGAGAAACTGAGAGACTAAGAGAGACATTGAGAGACAAAGACAGAGACAGATAGAGACAGAAAGACACAAGATATCACAAGAGACACTGAGAGACAAAGACAGAGACACCTTATGCACATTACTATGTCTCCACTTGGAAGTGGGAAAGGGAATACTGTTCACGTCCTTTACCTGCCTCATAAATAGTAGAGAAAAATGAGCCAGTACACATAAGATTGTTTAAGGCTCTTTAAAGTATTATTCATTTACAGGAAGAAAAACTGAAACATGAGGTAGCTAAATACATGAATGGCCCAAGGTCACCCAAATTTCACATGCAGCCAAGAATTAAGTGATGCTACTTTTCCCTGCTTTGGGGGTGGGGCAAAACTATGCCTTTTCAAAACACTCTCACAAACCAGTAATGACTATGTCTTTAAATACACTACCCTAAGTCCAGACAGATTTTATGCATCCGTCTAAGTTGATAAGACAGAAAAAACTTGAATTCATAATAGGGCAAGATGTTTTGAAGAGATTAATATAAAAGCATTTTTAATATAAATCTACACCCCAAACCTTCCATTATGTTGAAAGATAGTGTGACATAGTAGATAACAAGTTGGCCTCAGAGTCAGAAAGATCTGGGTTCAAGTCCAGCCTAGAATACTAATAGCTGTGGACAAGTAAGTGGTATACCAATCTCGAATTTGAGTTGATAGAAAGAGTTTCCTCATAGGGAGTTCCCTTACACCAGTGAAATGTAGATTCAGACACACACAGGATGTCCCAAAAGTTTAAAAATTTTTTTAAAAAAGCTTTAATAGCCTAAAATTACACTAAGACTTTTTGGATATCCTGTATATTTAAGTGAATACTGTCATTCAGACCACAAAAAAATTCCCAAAACTGCAAGGTAAAAAAAAGTCTCTAGGGCAAGAGCTCTTAAGCTTTTTTTGTGTGTGTTATGATCCCTTTGGCAGTCTCATGAAGCCTATGGACCCCTTCTCAGAATGAGGTTTTTAAATGCATACGATTTAATACAAAGGACTACAAAAGAAACCAATATCAATATATTAAATATAGTTATCTATTTTTAATGTCACAGATCCCAGATCAAGAACCCTTGCTCTAAAGATAACACTCAGCACAACAGGAAACTACTTGTTTTACAATACTTGTTTGCAAATGTAGCAGAATACTTTTACCATGAGAGCAAAAGAAATTGTGCAATCCAGACTTCCTGATTATTTCACATCTAAAGACGAACAAATGTGAGATACATACATACATACGTACGTACGTATGTATGTACGTATGTATGTATATGTATATCTGTGTGTGTGTGTGTGTGTGTGTGTGTGTGTATGTAGCAGGAGTGACCAGGAGAACCCCAAATAAAAATGTCCCTGAACAAAGGGCCAGAAAACTCTCCTTGTCCAGCTGCATGGAGGTACCCAGCTGGGCACCTCCAGGTTCTCCTGCTTGCCCCTACCAGAATGTCAAATCATATCCATACGATAAGATACTAGGTTTGCCAACTCACCCCAGTAAGCAAAGGCTGCCACAAGACAGCCAAGTTAGGGCTCCTGCATTAAAAGAGAGACTGGTCACTATCATCTTGTTACACGAGGGACAGCACATCTGGACAGGACGGTCAAAAAAGGTGACAGGCTGCTGCACATACACAGTCTGAACTGCAACTGATTAGAGAGAGAGAGAAATGCTTTTTAGATGATCATTATTAAAATTAATAGCTTAATTTGCTTGTCTTTCACTTTAAAAAGCAGTATGTCCCACCACTACCTTATTTAATTCTCAGCAACTCTCTGAGATAGATGGGGCAAATACTATTATCACTCCCATTTTGGACATAAGGAAGCTTGGCTGAGAAGGATAAAGTTATTTGCCATGTGGTCAGGGAAGAAAGAAGCCACTCAAACTCAGGTCCTTTGGCTCCTACAACTGCTCATATAATAGATAGTGAAAAAAATGGATGAATAATCAAAATAGTCAAAATAATAGTCATAGCATCATAGACCAAGAGCTGAAAGGAAGCTCAGAGACCATTATTCTAATCTCCTCATTTTACCCATAGGTATAATGAGACCTAGGGAAGTTAAGTGAGTTGCTGATGGTCATGTTGTCAATAAGCATTAATTAGTTTATAATAAGGTTGCTGGCCCCAGGGGACAATTCTGGATATTTAAGCGTGCATGATAAGTGGTAAAATAAAAAAATTTAATTTTAAGAAGCTTTATAGAAATATAATTAATTCTTTCATTTTTTTGCTTCTCCTATACAGTCAATTGGTAATTATGAAAGGCAAAGTGGTGGACTAAGAAACCAACCACACTTATCAACATTTACCAAAATGATCAAGCCACAACTCAAAACACCATCAAAAAACCACTTACAGAGCACTCAGCTGCTCAGGGCACTTTGGGTCTGAGTGAGGGAAAGGTGATGGGAGTGTTAAAAGGCTGGTAGCTTTTTCCTCAACTAGGAAGCAGGCAGTAAAGAAAAATCTACATACTCTTAGTTTTGGTTTTTAATCAAATAAAAATCTCTGAAGAAAAATTCATCTTCTCCCTTCTCCCCACTCCAAGACACCCAAGCTTCTCTTTCTGGTTTTAGTGCCACAGTAAATGCTTTGTATCTAATGCCAGTTATTGTCAGGAAATTCCTTCTTATGTTGTTGAATTGACTGGCATTTCAATATCCAATGTATGTGGTGGGGACAGAGAATCACAGCACCTTAGGATCAGAGATTAAAAATTGGAAAAGACCTCGAACAACTCCTAAAGCTAAAGGGTCAAAATAATAATGGAAATAAATCTCCTTGCAGGAAAGAAAAAGGAATCATTCAAAAACTATTTCGCTTTCTTGATATTTAGGATAATAGGATAACAAATAAGAAAAAGGAATGGACCTTAGATGTCTCAAGGTGATAATTTTTTTTAAATTTAATAAAGTACTTAGCAATAATACAAGGTTTATACAATTTTAAAGTAGCACACAGAGGAAAAAAATACACACAAGCAACAGTCATGGCCTAAAATAACATAAAATTATTCTCCTGTCCCTCTCAAGGATGGAATGTGGTATAGTGGTCAGCGGGCCAGCCTGGAATCAGGGAGACCTAGGTTTAGCTCATTCCTCTAAATACATACTAGCTGTCAGCCAAATCACTGAAATCTCTCAGTGCCCCCAGGCAATTCTCTAAAATTAAAAATTACCAATCTGTATCTGTGGAGGGAGTTTCCATACTGGACATTACCTACACAGGTCTGCTCCCCCTCCTCACCACCCCTCCAAAAAAGAATCCATTTTAGCTTCAAGAGAACTACTAGAAGGCAAGGGAGGTTAAAAATAACACAGCTAGAGGAACTGTTACTGAACTGGCTTTAATTATTAACTACTTACATACCTAAGACAGCCCAGGTGAAATGGCAGGTGTAGAAGCAAAAGAGGAGAGGGGACAAAGCAAATTTTGTCTGAGTGTAACAGCAAGGTATGCTGGTCCCGAGGGCTCCAGCTCACTCATGCCTAGGCCACAACTGCTCCCATTCCTGTTTTTTTCTTCAGTCTCCATGGCCACATATAACCACAATGCATGGTGGCCCCTCCCACTACCATCCCCACCCTTAAAATTATCCTGGGCACACCAACAACAGGTTAGGCCCCTGTAATGGGCTGTGAAATGAGCCTGATTTATAGTACAAAGAGAGATACTCAATATACCCTACTTCATATAGGGTATAGTATATAAATATATATATGAATATATTTATACAAATACATAAATATATTCATATGTAAATATATTTATATATAAATGCATATTTATGAATATAGTGAATATATTTATATAATAAGTATATCTATAAATATATTTGTATTTATATACATATATGTGTAATATATAAATACAGAGTCAACAGAATACTAATGATGAATGTCTAAGTCCCAGTAACAACCCATAAAGTCAAACAAAATATCCATGGACATAACCAAAGAGATCAGATTTTTTAAGGAAATAGTTATTTCAAATATTACAGGATAGATTATCTCTCCCACCAAACCTTGCATATTTATTCTGTATATATCTTATATTTTATATTTATTTTGTATATATCTTATATTATCAATGAACATATTACAATGCCCTCCAGCAGAATACAATAAAGCTCCTGAGGGCAGAGAATAGCCTTTCTTTTGTAATTGCCTGGCACATTTTGTGTTGTTCAGTCATGTCTAACTCTTCTCAATCTCCATTTGGGTTTGGGGTTTTTTTGGCAGAGATACAGGAATGGTTTGCCATTTCCTTCTCCAGCTCATTTTACAGATGAGGAAACTGAGAGTTAAGTGACTTGCCCGGGGTCAAAGCTAGCAAGTATCTGAGGCCAAATTTGAACTCTGGAAGATGAGTCTCTATCCACTGCACCACCTAGATGCCTTATGTACCAGCCTGGCACGTAGCAAAGTGCTTAGTAAATTGATTGACTGGTAGATTGGCTGATTTGACAGATTCTAGGCGTGGGCAAGTCACTTAACCCTGTTTGCCTCAGTTTCCTCACCTGTAGAATGGTCTGGAGAAGGAAATGGCCAACCACTCCAGCACCTTTGCCAAGAAAACCCCAAATGGGGTTATGAAAAGTCAACCACCACTGAAAATGACTAAAAAAAACCAAAAAAGCCTGAAGAAAGAAACCTTATGGCTAAGGAAGAAACGGAAAGGGTTTAAACAAATAGGTTAAGTCAATTACTTACTTGCATTAGGATTTGGAGCTGGCAAAGGCTGAGAATAGTATGCAGGAGGATTCATACCCTTCCCATCTGCTCCTGGCACTACTCCTGGCACTATTCCTGGTACAGGCCCAGGGGGAGGAGTAGGAAAATGACTGTTGATAGCCATTGTCTCTTCATAGGAAGGAGGCGCATTTGGAGTTATTGATGCTCCTGGAACAACGTTATGTGGTCCTAGAGCTGACATTTTATCTAAAATAAAGTTACACAAAGTTATTCTTCTCTTCAGCAAACATTTATTTCATGCCTACAAGGTACAAGGCTCTGTGCTAAGCATTAATTAGTCCAGTGTGACAAATTCGAGGTCTTTTCCCTTGTTTTGACACTCACTTCTCTACCTTGAAGTCTCCACCACCACCACTATCTCACCATTTGTCTGCAATTACTGCCTCAATTTCTCTCTTCCCTACTCACTTCTTAACTCCTCTATTGTAGTCTGGCTTCTGAGTTCAAGTCTCCACTGAAACTGCTGTCTCCTGAATTACTAATGGTCTCCTAATTAATTGCCAGATCCTTTTCACAGTCCTCATGTCTCTGCTGCATCTTAGTCAAGGCTGACCACTCTCTACAGAAAGGGTTCTTAACCTGCTATAGGTGGGAGATTTAAGGGAATGGATGAGTAAAAAAATTACACCACAATTTTCACTAACCTCTCACTGAAATTTAGCATTTCCTTCATTATGAATATAAGCAACAATCAGCAGTAGTTATCACCAACACCTCTGACTTTGTCATCAAAAGAAATTACAGACATTTTCATATCACATTACAGTGAAAACAGATTGAATATCCAACCTGACATTCATGTTACTTTGCCAAAGACCACCCCATAGTTTAATGTGCTGATCCAAGCTAAGACCATCTTTAAACTTTAATTTGTCTATATTTAAATATAGTCTTGCTATTTAATGTGTTAATAAAGAAGCACTTATTACTATACCACAATTTTAAAAATATTTTTAAAACTGTATTTCAATATAATTCAGCTAGCTAGGTAGTGTAGCTAGATACATCACTGAGCCTGCCATCAGGAAGACTTGGTTCAAATCTAGCCATAGACACTTACTATCAGTGTGACCCTGGGCAAGTCACTTAACCCCTGTTTTCCTCAGTTTCCTCAATTGCAAAATTCAGATAATAATAGTACCTACTTCCCAATGTTGTTGTGAAGATCAAATGAGATGATAGTTGTAAAGCTTGTAGTACAGTGCCAAACACAGAGTAGGCGCTATATAAATGTTAGCTATTATTTACCTGGTAATCCTATGTATTTCATTTTAGGCACTTAAAATCACTATTCTGAAACAATAAAGATTAGGACCCCCTACGGTAAAGTCTCCCAGGGGAATATTTTCTCCTCATCGAGTCTTTGTGACGTTGCTCTTTTTGTGTGTTTTCCTATCCAACAGCTCTTCTCAGTCTCCTTTGCTGTGTCTTCCCCTAGATCCCCTTCCCTTCTGCAGGTAAACCCCCAAGGCTCTGTCCTAGGGCAGAAGGACAAACAGCAACGCTCAATGACTCTACCAGTTCTAATTCAATTATCATCTAAGTGGATGCTTCAGAGATACGGCGATGATGTAGCCCTCGTCTATCTCCTGGGCTCATCGCCCTCATCACCAGCAGCTTATCAGACACAACTAAAGAGAACACTAGCAACCCAAAAAGAATCAGGCATTTCTAGTGCTACGTCCCAGAAGCATCTCAGACTCATTACCTGCCCAACAGAACTCATTCTCTCCCCTCTCCAAATTCATCCCCCTCTTCTGGCTGTCCTTATTTCTGTCGAAGGCATTCCTTTTTCCTTCCCTAAACCAGATTTGCAACCTTGAAGTCATCCTTGATCCCTCAAATATCCACCCACTGAGTTGCCAAGTCTCCTGGATTCTACCCCCACAGCATCTCTCTGTTGCTTGATCTCTATTCACACAATCGCCATCCTGCTTCAGGCTCTCCTCTCCTCTTGACTGGGATTGTTGCAACAGATTCCTAATAGCTCTCCCTCTCCAATCTTATCCTATCTTCCACATCCCTACTAAGTGATTTTCCTCAATCAAAAATCTTGTCAGGTCACTCTCCTGCTCAATCAACTGGGAGCAGGGAAAAGGACTGGATCTGTGATTTTACTCATGGGGGGGGGGGATTCCTAGATGAAAAACACCTTCTTCCAATGCAAGTCAGTGCCTTCCCTGCAATGTACAGGCTTGAAGAGTTCCTAGAACACTGCTACTGCTGTTGCTGCTGCTGTTTGTTCTCAAACAGGACCAATGACTTCAGGAGGGTGATGTCTTGACTTGCAAGTGAATTGGGTTTAAGTAAGGCAGAGCTATGCAGTCATCAGCCTCATTCTCTCCTCCAAAGCCATCTGAGGGGTAGCTAGGTGGCGCGGTAGATAAAGCTCTGGCCTTGGAGTCAGAAGGACCTGCATCCAAATCTGGTCTCAGACACTTAATACTTACAAACTGTGTGACCTTGGGCAAGTCACTTAACCCCGACTGCCTCAACAACAACAACAACAACAACAACAAAAAGAATTGAGGCAAAAGATGGCCTAGTTTGCCTTCATAAAAGAGTCAGTCTGGGAGAGGAAGACCTTAGAGCACTGAGATTTGATTGGCCCAGGGTGGTACAGTCAGTATCTCAGAAACTAGGTCTTCTGGGATCAGAGGCCTGCTCTCTATCCACTACACCTTAATTAACAAGTATTTATTAATTTGCCTGTCCTATGTCACTCACTGTTCTAGACAAAAAAGCAACAGTTCCTTCCTTCAAAGAGTTTAAGAAAACCCCAGTGGCTCCGTGTGTGTGTGTGTGTGTGTGTGTGTGTGTATGCATACACATATAGATATACATATAGATATACACATGCACATCTATACATATCTATATGTATGTATATATACATATGTACATGTATACACATACACATATACACATACACATACATACATATTAGGATCAAATACAAACTCGTCTGTTGGTCAGTTCCTGTCAGTCTGTCTTTCCAGCAGAATATATCATTCCTCTTCGCCCACTCTATGGTCCAAACAGGTCTTCTTACTGTTCCTCACATATGACACCTACAACTCTGTAGTCTTTACACAGTCTGTCCATGTCTGGAACACATTCTCTCTCTCTCATCTCTGCACTTCTTAAAATCCCTACTTTCCATTAAAGCTCAGTTCTGATACCACTCACACAAGGCCTCTCTCCTGATCCTTAATGCTATTAGTGCCTTACTCTCCAAATTACGTTGCATTTTACTTTGCATATATTTCTAAGTATTCATGTTGTCATTTCATATGTATATATGTATCATTCACAGCCAAATGCAAATGCCCTAAGGACAAGGCCATTTTTGTTTTTCCTTTCTCAGGATTAACACTGTATATCCTAGGTGCTTAATTAATACATGGTTGTTGAGTAATAATACACAAGTAATTTTTGAGAATAGTTTGAGTTCAGTCTTGCTTTAGGAGATGTCCCCCTCCAGACCTGCTGACACCACTGTCATGCATTTTGCTCAATGTACATGAGAAAGCTAGATGAAGAAAATGGCCCAAATTAACCAATATCCAACACAAAAGGCCAAGGGGAAATACCAGCCAAAGTCTTATATAAATATCTTTTTCTTTGCTTCAGTGATAAGCCAATATTGAAACTTTCTTTAAAATATTTGGAAACTTTTAGCTCCACTGAATTTCCCATTTACATTACTCCAACATCTTTAGTCAATAAAATCAAAAGGGTATAATTTTTTAAAAATCAGCTTATAAAACTTTCTCAATTTTTAAAAGGAAACACAAATGCATCCAGCACAGATGCTCCTTTCTGAGGAAGGGCAAGAAACATATTTTCTTTTTTCAAGCAAACCAGGTGGCTAGAATTACAATTTGTAAATAGGGTGTGTTCCTGTCCAAGACTTTGTTAGCTGAACCATAAAGTAGCTTCATTAGTAGACAGTACCATCCTTTGTGTGCTTTTAAAAAAAAAAACTGGGCAGGGCATACCTGGGTAGAAGAAATATTCAGTTATCTGCCTCAAGTGGAAGTCAATAAAAGAATATGTGTGAGAGAGATTGTGTGGTCATGGGGCCCTGTTTCACTTTATATTGACATAGTGATTTTATTCTACCTTTTCTCTCATTTCCCAATATCCTGCTACCACTTTCTTGTGCCTACTAGCTCCTGGATGGGGCAAAGGGTGACATATCATATGACCATGGCTATAAGAAAGCCTTTTTAACGACAAACCATCATCAACTTCCTATGAGATGTGAGTGGAAGGAACAAAGGCTAGATGGGGGAAAAAATACAAAAAGGGAATAAGCCAGTTAGAGGATGTTAGTTACACAGGCCATGGTCCTTAAATGGAAGAATCAAAGAATTCATTACACAGAAGTTAGCTGAAGTCTAATTACAGATGGCACTAACAACTCCTGCACATTTGCTTCTGTCACTTCCTTTTTGGTGCCTATGAGATATTTTCAACAAAGAGAACAATGTCGTCACTGTGATTCTTTGAAGTAATTTACATCCTTGCTGAGGCATTCCTCCCCTCACCACACACACACACACACACACACACACACACACACACACACACACACTTTTTTTTTATTAAACTGTGAGTCAGAGAGATTTACTGAGGAGATTTACTATTAACATTCAATGTTTAAAATTATAAGATTGGACAATCAGATGCTGAAGGGACAGATTGAAGGGGGAAAAAAACATCTTTTACAAATGCACCACCTTTACCACTGGGGAATGGCTAAATAAATTGTGACACATGAAATGTAGTTGAATTCTACTGTGCCATAAGAAATTATGAAAATAGAGAATTAAGAGGTATGGGAAGCCTTATATAAAGTAATGCAGTGTAGCAGAACAAAGAAAACAATATAGATAATGAAAGCAACAGTGTAATATAGAGGTATAGTCAGGAAGACTTGAATTAAAATAGCACCTCAGATAACTGTGGTTAACTGTGACCTAGGAAAAAGTCATTTAACTTCTCTGGGCCTCAGTTTCCTCATCTGTAAAAACAGGACTAAAAGACCACTAAAGTCTTTAATCTATGATCCTATGATAAACGGATGGGGGGGGGAATTAATAACAACTAAACACTAGGTCATTATAATACTTAGCTTTGCTTTTGTTGAGAAACACACACACACACACACACACACACAC